AATATTAATTTTTATTGGTAAGTCGTAAACTTGTCGGCGCCGACAAGGCTGTTTACCAAGGATTTTTTTGTATAGTGAGACATATCTCGAGAGAAAGTTTGTTTATTTAGAGTTTCTTTAGATCGTTCGAAGTGCTCCGTTTATGGGTTAGCGGCCGTAATTTTTTCTTCCCGAAAGAGAAGAATTCGTGAAGTCCCCCGGACGTAATACCCCCCGACTTAGACAAATGTTGGGAGTGTACAACATTTGCAACAATAGGATAATAATTCTTCTCTTTCGGTTTCTCCCCCTTTTTTTTGTGAAGAAGAAGGAAGAAACAGGCGACCACCAAAACCCCTTCCTTATTCCCTCGTTCTTCCTCGTCTTCGCTTACATTAACTAACGTTATATTGGATTAAGTTGTGCGCATCATTCACTCTCTCTTCCTTTTCATTCTCTCTCTTTTTTTTCAGAAAAATATTTTAAATTTTCATGCCTAACATTTGTTAATGCGTATTTATTTCCGGAGGACTTATTTCTCCTTGTTGTAGAGAGTGAAGAATGCGCAAAACCTTGCATGTGGAGATGCTTGGACTAGATAAGAAGAATATTATTACTAGTGTTATTATTATTATTATTATTATTATTATTATTATTATTATTATTAATAAATTCGGAAGAATTATAAAATTTTTGAAAGGGTTTATGATAAATTTGGCTTAACTTTATCATATTCATTATATAGCGTTTAAGAGGAAGGAAATGATTTTATATAATGAACGATCAGCAAATTCTTGTCTCTCCCCCCTTTTTTTTATATATATATATTACGTGAGTACCACCAGTCGCGTCCCGCTTGGTTTGGAATTATTTTTCCATGTTCTGCATTCCAAAATGGTTTTTCTATCCTCTTCCCCCGTTTTTTTTCGGGGTTTGAATGCAAATGGTCAAGCCGTGGCCATTAGGCGTGTTGGCGCTCTTTACCTGCCTCAGTCATTGTGTATCGTTTGATTATGTGGTATGTTTGTTATATTAAGTAAGGTGACGTTCGCATGACAATTTATTCGACTGGGCAATTATATGTGTAGAAGTTATTATCCTGCCACTAACTTGTTAATATTATTATGCTGCAGTTCAGGATTGGTAAATGCAGATGAGGAGAGAAAAATAATAAGCGCTCCCGCTCCCCGGTAGGCACTCAAGCAACATCGATATGAATAAAGAATTAATCGTCTTACATTTCCTCTCTCTTTATGCCACAAAAAGGAAAAATTTAATATAATAAGTTTAATAATAAAGGAAGTGGATGATATATGTGTACAAGGAGCTTAAGTAATTATAATTATTAATAAATTATAATGTAAACAAAATTATTATTAAATTATAATGTTTATGGTTGTTCAACTTAAACATTACTTTATTGACTAAATAAGTATACGAGAAAAAAAAGATATAGCTAACAGAAATAAGGATAGTATAATAAAACAAAGGTTATATAATTGAGTATTAAAACAAAGGTTGTA